GATATTAAGCAGCAGGTATGGGTACCTCTTTGGTGGCACAACGCTGAGCGTTGCTGCTTTGCAGTGCTAGGGGCCCTGGGTTCAGTTTCCTGGGTGCTATCTCTGTGGGCTTCCTCCAGGTGCTCCGGTCCTTCCTACAGTCCAAAAACAGACTGGTAAATTCATTGGCTTGTGGGAAGACTGGCCCTGGTGGGAGTTTGTCTCTGTGTACCCTGCGATGGCCTGGCGTCCCATCCAGGGTGTAACCTGCCTTGCGCCCCCATTGCTTGCCGGGATAGACTCTGGCTCCTCTGCGCCCCTGAAGTGGGTTAGAAAATGGCTGGATGGGTGTGTTTTCCCTGATCTACGGGATGCACAGGTTTCCTGTAGCGTCCTTGAACTAGAACTTTATTGCCATATGTAACCGGTGCATGTACTAGTACAATGGAGTTCTTACTTACAGAAAGTCTCTCGATTGTCTCTCGAGTCCAGACAGTGCATTGAGACAATATACAAGCAAACAGTAGACAATACACAAGTCAACATGTAAACCACGACTGCCTCTGCAGTTATTATTCATTAGACTTAAAGATGCTACACAGATGGAATATGCAGAAAACCTAGTCATCCAATGATTGTGGGAAGAGGTATCAGTGTTTGTATCCATTGTTTCATTTTCAATACGTTTTTATGTCACTGGCCACTGCATTGCTGACAGGAACTCAAGAGGAAAGGTAACTTAAGCTGTTTGTTCAGGGGGAGTGCAAATCAAGGGTTCCTTGATTTTAGGGGTGCTGCACAAAGATTTTGACCATTTTGGAAGGCTAAACAGGGGATTTGTTTGTAACCAGGCCCTGTGGTGCCCAACCCCAGTGTTTAGACTAGTGCTTACTAGTGGTGCGGTGGTGGTGCTGTGGCTCAGGATCTGCGTCTGTGGCTGGAAGGTTGCCGGTTCGTATCCCGCGGCCGGCAGAGGAATCCTACTCCCTTGGGCCCCTGAGCAAGGCCCTTAACCCCAACTGCTTCAGGGGTGCCGTATAAATGGCTGACCCTGCGCTCTGACCCCAGGCTTCTCTCCTGTCTGTGTCTGATGGAGAGCAAGTTGGGGTATGCGAAAAGACAAATTCCTAATGCAAGAAATTGTATATGGCCAATACAGAAATCTTACAGCTGTAGGCCCGAAGATCTCGGGACCTGGTAAATGGAGGAAACATCCACAAGGGGGAGCAATTGGCTACAGGTTTATAAGTACAAGAGTAATTCTAATATAGGACTTTACAGGATAAAGCACCTGCTAGCGGTGACTTCTTTTGCTTCTACTTTTCTTGGGGCACCTGCAGTAATTTTGTTTTTTTAGGACCCGACAGTGTTAAAAGGAGAAGCAGTTCAGACACTTTTGGGTATTTGCTGTCTGCTCCGCAGCACAAAATGTTCCCTTGTCATTTTCCCCACAACAGAGTTGTCTGTTTTTTTAGATGTTAGCTGTGGAAACTTTTTTTTTTTAATGAGAAGTTTCTGGAGTATGAAAAAATGGGGAAAAGCAGGCCAAAGTTTTGCATATTGAGGCGAGCTCGGGTGTTTCCTAGGGATGGTGTTGTGAAAAGACAACCTATTTCCTGTAGTTTTCAAATGTTGATGAATGACAAATGATACCCACTCTTCTTTTTCCTACCAGTGTTTTTACTGCAAACTCACAGGCTGAAACAGAAGGTTTTCAATTTTCAAATTTGAATTTTAATCCAGAGCACGGGGGTCTGAGTCCTTGTATATTTCAGTTTTTGGCTCTCTTTCAGATATGTGTTGGCAAATAATTTTGTTTAAAAAAAAA